GGCTGGGTCAGCTTAACTTTTCTGGGCGCCGAGGTCCCCTTATCCGTTGGAGAAGTCAGAACCTTCCACGTCCCCACCCCCACCTCGATACTCAACCATTAATCCCCCTTCTAATCCTCCTTCCCCCTGCCTGTGCCTCGCAAATCCCTCTCCTCCCTGGGCAACTGGCCTAAATCAAGGTCTCTTTATCTATGAACTTGGCCACCGGCGACCTGACATCTTCCCTTAGACGGTGACGGGTGACCGGCAGCTCAAACAAGTGCAGTCGGGAATCCTGATTCCCGTTCTCCCAAACCCGTTTCTCCCGCTGTGGAGTACATTCCAGGAGCCTCCAAGTCCTGGAAGCTCTACCTCCAAAGGACAATATTCCAGAAGGTCTCCCTTTTTCTTCAGCCCCACCACCTATCTCCCGAACTTCCACAATGCCTCCTAACTGTTCCCTGTGTCGCCTTTTGGCTCCTTCAGTTAATTCTCAAAGCAATTAGAGTGATCTTTGCAAAACCGATATGTCATTCCTGTTTAAAATCTTCTAGAAAATTATGATTTGAAAATGGGCAAAGGACAGGAATAGACATTTCGCTGAGGTCAGAGATGGGAAATCTATGCATGAAAAGATGTTCAACATCGTTAGCCATTAGGGAAATGCAAATTAAAACCACAAGGAGATAATCACTACACGCCTCCCAGGATGGCTTAATTTATTAAATTTAAAAAGAGTGATAATACCAAATGCAGGTACGTATATGGAAAAACTGTAGTTCTCTTACATTCCTGATGGGAAATGCAAACGGTGTAGCCTCTCTGGAAAAGAGTGTGATGGTTTCTGGGGTGCCTGACTGGCTCAGTTGGAAGAGCATGTGACTCTTGATCTTGGGGTCCCAAGCTCAAGCCCCATGTTGGGTGTAGAGATTAAACAAACTTAAAAAAAAAAAAAGTGTGACAGTTTCTTTATTTATTTACTTTGAGAGAGAGTGGGGGAGGGACAGAGAGAGAGAGGGAGAGAGAATCCCAACCAGGCTTCACACTTCAGCGCAGAGCCAGATGTTCACCTCAATCCCACGAACCTCGAGATCATGACCTGAGTTGAAATTGAGTGGGACGCTCAACCAACTGAGCCACCCAGGTGCCCCAGGAATATGACAGTTTCTAATGAAACTAAACATGATCTTATTTGAACACACCATGCTGTTCCCCACCTCAGAAGACACCTCCTCAGTGAGACCTTCCCTCACCATCCTGTCTCAAGTAGGTCCCTCTATCACCTGTCTGCCATTAGATGATTTCTTACCATCTGAAATTGTTTATTGATTAACTTATTACCTGTCCCCCTTTACCCTTCCAGGTCCCCAAAACTTGAATCAAAGCTCCATGAGGTTGGGAACTTTGTCTTGTCCCTTGCTATTTCGCCAGCACCTGGCGCAGTACCTGATTTAGAAAACAAAAAAAACACACATAGTAAACATTTGGTGAATAAACAAATGAATGAACACTTTCCTTACTGATCTCTCTGGCTTCCCTCTCGCCACCCTGCAGCCAGGGGGAGTTTTAGAAAATGCAAATCTGGCCAGGTTAGGGGCTCCTGGCTGGCTCAGTGGGAGGAGTGTGAGACTCTTGATCTCGGGGTCATGAGTTTGAGTCCCAAGTTGGATGTAGAGATTACTAAATAGACAAACAAACAAACTTAAAAAAAAAAAATCTGAGGGCATCTAGGTGGCTCAGTTGGTTAAGCGTCCGACTCTTGGTTTCCGGCTCAGGTCATGATCTCGTGGTTCATGAGTTCGAGCTCAGCATTGGGCTCTGTGCTGAGCTCCCGATGGGGTTTTTCTCTCTGTCTCTCTCTCTCTCTCTCTCTCTGTCTCTCTGTCTCTCTCTCTCTCTCAAAAATGAGTAAACTTAAAAATAAAAAGAGTATTAAAAAAAAATCAGGCCAGGTTAACTCCTGCTTATAAATCCCCAGCAGTTTACTGCCCTCAAATTCCCTGTGTGTGTGGCAGAGTATCTTGGGAAGGAAATGAAATGGGGACTATAAATAAGGCTCCAGTCAACTGTCAGGCTTGGATTTTATCCTGAGGCCCTGGGAGCCTTTGAAGGGTATTGAGCAGGAGGAGCACATGACTGACTAATACCAAGGAAGTTCTTTCTGTGTAGAGTGTAGGTAAAGAGCAAAAGATAGGAGACAGCTCACAAAGGAGGCTATTGAATTGGTTCTGGTTGGGAAGGGAAGAGCCCCCAAAGAGGAGGAAGTTGATTCTAGGAATACTTAGGATGAAAACGGACTAGCCCTGGTGACTGAGTGCATGAGAGAGAAGTGAAGAGAAAGTTTTCTTTTACTCTTCCTAATTTCCTTTTGTGGTTTTTGTCTTACCAGCAAAAAACGGTTTACTTGGGAATAGCAGACAATTGCAATTCAGGATAAGCAAGGGACAACAAAAACTATATGCTAGCCCAGCAAATACAGGAGAGGGATGTTATTTTATGGAGAAGAAGAAGTTGGGAGAATCCCAACTGGGCGCCTGGGTGGCTCAGTTGGTTAAGTGTCAGACTCGGACTCCAGCTCAGGGTCATGATCTCACGGTTCATGAGAGCTCCGCGTCAGGCTCTGTGCCGACAACTCCAAGCCTGGAGCCTGCTTCAGAATCTGTGACTCTGTCTCTGCCCCTCTCCCGCTCCCGCTCTCTGTCTCAAAAAATAAATAAGTGTTAAAAAAAAAAAAAAAGTTGGGAGGGGTTGTATTGAATGAAAATTCATTGGAGAAAAGCAAGAATTCAGGATGATAATGGTTTCTCTTTGGCTGAGTTGCAGGGATGGTCGATTTCTTGTAGGAGATGTAATGTACATCTTTTCCTGTTGGGGCCTGTGAGGATGATTCTCTCCTGTGGAGGGTTCTTCCCTTGGGTCCTGTAATTGACAATGCTTCCTACAATAGAGGTAGAACGGTTATGGCGGGAGTGCTCCCCCTTCTGGCCTGGTTTCCCTTCATTCATTTTCACATTTTTATGTAACAGATACTTAATGAGCACCTACTAGATGCCAGGGAACAAGCCAGTAAAGATTCCTGTTGTTGAAGAGTGAACAGTCTGGGGCAGGAAGTAGTTGAGAGAGTAACAAATAAACAAGCATATTTGGGAATTGGGGCAAACGCTGGGAAAAAAAATAAAACAGGGGTGTGAAATCAAAGGTACCTGGAGAGTCAGGGAAGGCCTCCTTGAGGAAATAACATTTGATCTGAGGCCTGAGGGATAAAAAGGAGCCAGTGAAGTGAAAAGCTGAGGAGCGATCAGGAAGGAAAGCAGCAGGTGCAAAGACTTTGTTTGGAGCGAGGGACAGAGTAGTAGAGGGTTGAGATGGGAAGTGGAGGCAGGTGCAGCCTCACTCAGACTTTGGAGGCCATGGTGTGGAGTGTTTATTTTGGTGTGGAGTGTTTATTTTAGGTAGAGGAAACAACACTACAGTGTTCTTTTTTTATATATAAGCTTATTTATTTGGGGAGACAGAGAGCGCAGGGGAGGGGCAGAGAGAGAGAGGATCCCAAAGCAGGCTCTGCACTGTCAGCGCAGAGTCAGACGCAAGGCTCGAACCCACGAACCGTGAGATCACAGCCTGAGCTGAAATCAAGAGTCAGATGTTTACCCGACTGAGCCGCCCCGTGGTGTCCCGCCCTATGGTGTCCTAAGCGGGAAAGTGCAGGGGAGGCAGCTGGAGAGCTAGTGAGGAGCTAGCGAACGGAGCCTCCTCACCCTCTCGATTCCCCAATGCCCCACTCTTCCCCCTCCTAGCCACCCCAACCCGACCAAAGGGAAGTGGGGCCCTACCAGCTGGAGGGTCCCCTGGGGTTCGCCTGAAGCAAACAGGAAGCTGCCGCCCAGCGAGACGAGCCTGGGAACTGGCAACTGAGAAAGCAGGTCTCCTGGGTCCCTGGCCCCTTTCCCTGAGTGACTGCAGAGTGAAAGTGGAGACACAGCCACGTATGCAGAGAGACAGATAGCTGGAGGAAGAGGAAAGGAGGGGAGAGACGGGGAGGGAGTGGGGGCAGAAGAACAGATTTATTAAGAGTTAGGATTCCCGAGTTCTAGAGCTCCCTGTGTGATCTCAGGCAACACCCTGCCCTTTGGGGGCCTCAATTTCCCCATTTCTAAATGGGTTCCTTCCATAGCTGAAGCAGGCAGGGGCTTCCCAAGTTCTTCCCCAGGAAGCAAAGGGGCACTGATCACCAGTCATCTCTCAGGACTGCTGTGCGGGAGCTGCAGTAGCAACCTGGCACTCGCCCTTGGCCGCTGGCTGACGCTGCCTCTCACTAACTGAGGGCCTACTATGCGCCAGGCGAAAAATGCTGCACGCATGCTGTCCTGTTGCCTCTTCACAAACAGGATTTTCATCGTGCTATCACTGTCCCCAGTTTACGGAGGAAGAAACTAAAGCTTAGATGAATGAAGGAACTTAGCCAAGTGGTAGACGGGGAGGATTCAAAGTCAAGTCTGCCAGATCCCAAAGTACGTGTGACGGGCCAGCTGTACAGAGTGGGAAGGAGGCCCAAGGCGTGTCGGCTGAATGAATGAATGGGGTATGTGTGTGAAGGGAAAATGATTTAGAGCCTGAGGTTGAAAGAGGGAGGGGGAGAAGGAGGGAGCCCCTAAAACTGGAGCCACTTAATTCAACAAATATTTATTGGGTGCCGGCGATGTGCCAAGACTGTCCCAGGGCACTGCGCATTCAGTGGTGAGCGGGACCAAGTCTCTGCCTTGAGGGCTTATACTCCAGTGGGAGGAACAGAAAGGGATACACAAATAAGCTCATTTCACATGGTGTGAGTCGGGATGAAAATAAAAGTGTGTCAGGGTAGAGACAGGTTTTGTGGGTCCGGAGGGGTGCCAAGGGAAGGGGACTGGAGGCGTGACCACCCCTTCCTCCCCCGGGGGTGTGGGGGGGGACTGCCTGCCCGCCTGCCCGCCCCCACAGACACTCATGGTTCAGTGCCCCCCAGGCCCCCACCTGCCCCCAGCATCCACCGCGCGGCCAAGCTGGGTGCCCCGGGGAGTCTGGCCGCCATGCCACCTCCTCTTCTCGTCTTCTCCCTCCTCTTCCTCACCCCTGAGGGAGTCAGGCCCCAGAAAACACTGCTGGTGGAGGCTAAAGGTACGTCCAAAGGGCACAGATGGAAGGAGTTGGGGCTGGAAACTTGGGTCTGCCGGGGTGCCCTTGACCAAGTAACTATCCTCTCTGGGCCTTCATTTTATTATCTGTAAAACTCAGAGAGGGGTTGGAAGGACTCGGAGTTCATCCACTTCCAGCTTGTGGGTTCGCTGGGTTGTCACCCAGTGCGAGGAATGAAGGGGGCTAAGAGTTCCTCCCTCTCTCTCTCTCTCTCTCTCTCTCTCTCTCTCTCCTCAGAGGGAGGCAAAGCTGAGCTGCCATGCCTCAAAGGTCCCTCAGATGGTCCCCCTGAGCAGCAGGCCTGGTTTCAGGGGGCTCAGTCAGAGCTGGACCCAGGTTCACAAGGCCTGGGCATCCAGAAGGGGCCCCTGGGCCTCCAGCTCCTCATCTTCAACGTCTCTGACCAGATGGGGGGCTTCTACGTGTGCCAGCTGGGGCCCCCTTCTGAGCAGGCCTGGCAGTCTGGCTGGACAGTCAGCGTGGAGGGCAGCGGTGAGGTCTGGGCTAGGGCAGGGAGGGGTGGATGAGAAGAGGGAGGCCCCACGGATGGAGGATGGTCCGGCAGTGAAGACAGATTTGCAGGGAGGGGTCGGAGGGTCTGCGGGACAGGCACGCAGCTAGTTTTAGGTGGCTCCTAAAAACTCCTGTGGCTTCGTGACTTCCACCCTGAGCTGTTCCAGATGTCTTTCACTCTTGTCTGTCTCTGAGTTCCATTTCTCTCTCTGGCTCTCTCTGGGTCTTTGTCCCTCTCTGTCTCTCTTCCTCTCCTGGATGTGTCTGTATCTGGTTCTGGGTCTTTTCCCAGGGGAGCTGTTCCGCTGGAATGCTTCATACCTAAATGACCCAGGCTGTGGCCTGGGGAACAGGTCCTCAGAGGGCCCCAAGCCCTCTTCTGGTTACCCCACAAGCTCCCAGCTGTACGTGTGGGCCAAAGGCCACCCTGAGATCTGGGAGACAGACCCTGACTGTGCCTCGCCCAGGGGCGGTCTGAATCAGAGCCTCAACCAAGGTAAGGTGCTGGGGAGATGCCAGGGAGTGGGGGTGCCAGGGAGGCGGGATGGTGACTGGGACCCGGAGGGTTTGCAGGGAGGAGACCCCAAGGATTACACTTTCCTAGCCTTGGCTCTCCCTGCCCCAGACGTCACCGTGGCCCCTGGCTCCACATTCTGGCTGCCCTGTGAGGTGCCCCCCGCCTCCGTGGCCAGAGGCCCCATCTCCTGGACCCTCGTGCGCCCCAAGAAGCATAACATCTCATTGCTGCACTTAAACCTGAGGGAGGATGCCCCGGTCAGAGAGATGTGGGTCCTAGACACCCTCAGGGGAGGGGCTGTTCTGTTGCTGCCCCAGGCGACCGCTCAAGATGCTGGCACCTATCACTGTTACCATGGCAACATGACCATCGAGATGCAGCTGAAGGTCACTGCCCAGTCAGGTAGAGTTTCTCCCAATTGTGGGGCACCCGTGTGGGGCTACTGGGAAGAACTGGAAGCCAGTCAACCTTGGCGCCCCAACCTGAGAGCTAGTACCAGACTCTTCCCAAACCCCAGCTTCCATACTGAACACTGATTCCATCTCCGTCCTCCCTTGTGTCCAAATCACGACTTTTCTGGGTCTTCTCTTCCTACTGGTTGCTCCTTCCCACAAGCTTTGACAGGGTCCTCCTGCCTCCCCAGTCCTCACCGTTGGAGCTCTGAGGCCTCTTCTTACACCGTCAGCACCCTCTCATCCTGGTCTACCCATTCTTCCTGTTTGCCCTCCTCTACTCCCATGGGTCCTTAGGCCACCGTGCCTTAGTGACTCGATTCTGGGCTCCATACACCTCACACCCAGCCATTTCCTGGAACTGCCATTTGATGTTCCATAGACACTGCAGGCTCAAAAGACACAAAGCCAAACCCCACATCTTCCTGGAGTGTAGTCTTTTGGGTGTCCCTGTGTTAGTGAAGGGCACTACCACCTGCCCACAGGCCGAAGCCAGGAACCTGGGTATCTTTCCTTTTCCTCACCCATCCATCAACCCAGTCACAAGTGCTCTGCTCATTCTGTCCCCCTTAATACAGTCCTGTGGTCCCCAACCACAGTTCTCAAACTCAGCCTCAACTTTCGCTCCCATCACACTGTGGCTTCCCACCTCTAACCCTGTGAACTTGACTCTGTCCTTCACTTTGAAAATGACTGTCCTTAACATGCTCCCCTTAATCCTAACATAGAGTCTAACTATAGTCATGGTTTGTTCAATAGATACTGCCCCAGGCCCCATGTCAGGCTCTGGGGCACAGTCTGTGACCTCAGAGGGAGGGAGAAGAGCTCTCCTGTAGCTTGTGATTTTGAGGACCTGTGTCTTGCTCATGTTCCCAAGATTTACGGTCCTTTGAGGTCCCGAGGCTGGGAGGCAGGATGCCAGCCTGGGGCCCTCGTCTCATACCTGCTTCTCCCTATCAGTAAGACACTGGCTGCTGGAGGCTGGTGGCTGGAAAGTCCCCGTTGTGCCATTACTTTATCTGATCATCTGCCTGGGTTCCCTGGTGAGCTTTGTTCATCTTCGAAGAGGTGAGTCGTGTCCCCCAGCCCATCTGCCTAACCCACCCCATCTCCCTCAGGACAGCCAACACTGGCCAGTCTGACAACCAACCATCTTTCTCCCCTCGCATACCTTCCCCACAGGCCTCCAGTCCTGTCCCCAACTCCTCTAACCGCCCTCCAAAGTTACCGGGCCCCTTGGATTTTGAAGTCCCATCCCCTCCATGGACCCAAGTGGCCTCCCCGGTGCCCCGCAAAACTTCACCCTGCCTCCTCTGATCACTCCTCTTAACTCCCACCAGCCCTGATCCTCAGGAAGAAAAGAAAGCGAATGACCGATCCCACCAGAAGGTAACGATGCAAGCGCACCCGCAGCCTCCCATTCCTGCACTTTTGCTTTATGCTTTGCACTTACTGTTTCCTCTGCTCAGCATGTCTTTCCCCCTTCTCTACCGTTGAAATACTGCCCAAGCTTCAAAGCCCAGCTCCAAAGCTACCTCCTCTGTGAAGACCTCCTTGGAGTGATCCCAAACCCCTCAATAGGCTGTGCCAGAACACAGGAGCTAAACACAAGTGCCTACATCTTATCTTCCAAGGGCCTGGCCTCACTGTGCAACTCCTCTTCCTTCGCCAGGTTCTTCAAAGTGACGCCTTCCCCGGGAAGCGGGGCCCAGAATCAGTACGGGAACGTGCTCTCCCTTCCCACGCCCACCTCTGGGACGGGTAGGAGGCACCGCCCGCTCTCTGACTCCAAGCTAGGACCCCACCCATTTTCCCCGGTCACTCCAATCCGCTGAGGGCCCGGCCTTCCCGAGCTCCGAGCGCCGCCTTCAGGAAAAACCCCACACACCCCGGGCGCGGGGTCCCGCCCAGATTGGAGCCCCGCCCCTAGCGCCGTGGCGGTACCCCAGGGCTAATAGCCCCGCCCCCAGGACGCGGGCCCGGAGGTCCAGTTCCGAGAGCCTCACCTCCCCGGAGACGTAGGCCACGCCCCCAGCTGGCACAGCCTCCAGTGCCCCGCGGAGCCCGCAGCTTCCTCTCCTTTGCCCAGCCTCGCAGACCCTTAGCCTTGACCGCCCCCATCTCTTTTCTCCCGCCCCGTTACAACGTTCCTCCCGCCAGGACGCGCCCTAAGGTGGGCTGCAGGCCTGGGGGCCGCCGTCCAGTCGTACGGAAACCCGCGCAGCGACGTACAGGAGGTCGGAGCCGCGGGGCCCCGGAGCCCGCCACCAGCAGGTGATTGCGGGGCTGGGCAGGGGTCCCCACGTGGAGCGTGTGGGAACGGTCTGTGTCAGGAAGAGTGGACCGGGGCCTGGAGGGGGGGGGGCGGGGGCTGTGACTCGGTTCCCACTTGTGTCCCCAAACCCCAGGCCCAGAAGAAGAGGAAGGAGAAGCCTATGAGGAGCCGGACAGTGAGGAGGGCTCCGAGTTCTACGAGAATGACTCCAACCTCGGGCAGGACCAGCTCTCCCAGGGTAAGACTGCGCTCCCCGCGGCTGCCCCACCTTCTCAGCGGCGGGCTCTGGGCCCTCGCTGGACCCCCTTCCTTCTCCACCAGATGGCAGCGGCTATGAGAACCCTGAGGACGACGCCTTGGGTCCCGGGGATGAAGACTCCTTCTCCAGCGGTCAGTTGGGGTCCTTGCGGGGCCTCAGCGACTTGGGAGGACCCAGAGGGCTGTGGCGCCCCTACAGGGCAGGAGTGGTCTCTGGAGTTCTCTTTTTTTCCTGCAGCAGCCGAGTCTTATGAGAATGAGGATGAAGAGCTGGCCCAGCCAGTCGCCAGGACAGCAGGTATGTGTGAGGATGGTCAGGGTAATGTGGGTGTGTGTGTGTGGGGGGGGGGGGGGGGCGACCTGGAGGCCAGCAGGAATAACTTCCTTCTTCCTTCTCTAGACTTCCTGAGCCCCCATGGGTCTGCCTGGGATCCCAGCAGGGAGGCAACCTCTCTTGGTGAGAAATGGCTAGGGACCCTCCTGCCTTGCCCAGATTGGGTTGACCTGGCCTCAGCGCTGACTCCACACTCAACTTTGGCCTTGACTCCCACCCCAGGCCTAATCCTGGTCTTAGATGGACTCCTAACCTTAACCTCCACCCCAATCCTGAATCCCAGTATTTACCCCATCCCCAACTGTGAACATCAGCTCTGATCCCAATCCGATTCCAGCCTGGATTTTGACCTCCACCTCACTGCAGCCCCAGGGCAAACGGCAGCTTTGACCCCAGTTGTCTCTACAACCTCCTCGTGACTGTGACTCTGACTTTGACTTCTTCCCGTTGGGTTCTTGACATGGATTATAATCTAATCCATACCTGACCGTAATCACTCCTTCCTAGTACCCACGGATCAAGCCTTCCACCCTCCTGCCTCTCAGATTCCCTCTGTATGTCAGGCCGCACTTCCCTTCCCCAAGCCCCCAGCATGGCGCTAGGCCTCCCAACTCTCCTGCCCACGCAGGGTCCCAGTCCTACGAGGATATGAGAGGGATCCTGTATGCAGCCCCCCAGCTCCGCTCCCTTCGGGCCCAGCCGGGTCCTAATCATGAGGAAGGTGGGTGCTTCTCCTGCTGTCCTCTGAGACTTACCCCCTCCCAGTCTACTCTGTCTCCACCTGTACCTTACTTCTCCCGGTCCGAATCAGATGCAGACTCTTATGAGAACATGGACAATCCCAATGGGCCAGAACCAGCATGGGGAGGAGGGGGCCGCATGGGCACCTGGAGCACTAGGTGATTCCTTCCAGGTGAGCTGGGAAATGCCCTCTAAGGAAGGGGGAGAAAGCGGGGGAGGAGTAGGGGTGGATGTGGTCCTCGGGGAGGGAGAGGGGAAAGGTTTCCCGAGGCCTGGGGTTCAGGGGAAGGGCTCCCGGAACCTCCTCGTCACCATTTCTTCTACATAGCCTGGGCCTCCTTAGGCCCCCGAGATCCATACTGGATTCTGAAATCTGGGACCCCAAGCAGACAGTGTCGACTTCTGGAGCAGCGTTGACTCGGATGTGTATATCTGTGTGTGTGAGCGCACGTGTGTGTGTGTGTGTGTGTGTATGTGTGTGTGTGTGTGTACCAATGAAACTTTGGCTCTCTTTACTTACTCCAAATAAATTCAGTGACTTCTTCTAATCCTATGACGTAAATGCCCTTGTATGGGAGGGGGAGGGAAGGTGACGATGTGTGTACTCCCCTCTCGAATCCAGCAGAGGACGGAGAGCTGCATCCTGGGTACGATGGGGCCTTTTCCCTTCTGTGATTTGGCCTGCATCTGTTGCCCTCACTTGCCTGCCGCTCTCTTCATCGAGTTGTTTAGCCACCATTCATTCAGCAGCTGGGGGTGCCCAGTGAAGAGAAAGCCATCCAGGAGTTGGCAGTCATCGCTGACACGTACTGAGCATCTCCTGGAGTGCCCGGGTGGCTCAGTTGGTTAAGCGTCAACTTCGGCTCAGGTCATGATCTCATGGTTCCTGAGTTTGAGCCCCGCACTGGGCTCTGAGCTGACAGTTGGAGCCTACTTCAGATCCTGTCTCCCTCTCTCTCTGACCCTCCCCTGACCGCACACGCGCTCTCTCTCTCAAAAATAAATAAACATAAAAAAAAATTTACTGAGCATTTCCTACGTTCCAAAACCAGTTAACTCATTTAATCTTTAAAAGTATTTTTTTAACGTTTATTTATTTTTGAGAGAGCGTGTGCACCTGTGCGCACGCACACGGGCACACAAGTGGGGGAGGGACAGAGAGGGAGGCGGAGGAGCCCCGTGCCAGACTGGAGACCCAGCCCCTCTCCTGCTCCAGAAGGTTCAATGTGCTATAGAAGACTGACTAGAGTTTTCAGTACTTACACACTTTATTGCCAGAATTTCGCTTAATGTACCCGTTTTTTCTTTGCAATGCCCTGTTATTTCGAGACCGTCTTCCTTCTTTATCTCTCAACCTTTACAACTTACTTTCTGTGTGTTAACACTATTATTCTGTGCCATGCATTGTGCTAATAAGTGCTTTGCAGGTAGCATCTCATTTTATCCTTACAACAATCCTTTGAGGGAGGGATGCTAAAATTATTCTGTTTACACCTGGGAAGCCTGAGTCATGGAGAAATTAAGTACTTCCTGCTAACTGACCTTAGGTAACTTACTTAAGTTCAGGGACCCTCAGTTTCCCTGACTGTCTAATAGCATTAGGGAGGGGGCATGGTATGGTTACCATTATCTGTATAATGGGTTGAATTTCCCCATGGTGATGTCAAGGTCTCTTTGACTTCTTCATGTTTCTCCTGAGCTTCCTGGGCCCCACTGCCTGGGGGCCAGCAGTGACTTTTTCCCTCCACTGTCTGTTGGGTGACTTGCTTCCATTCTGCATCCCAGGGCCCGTGGGTGGATTTTTTTCTGTCTTCTGTGCCCAGCCCTTTCTCAGCTCCTGGTTTTGGGCAAGACACTCAGTTTCCTTTCTCTGCTGTCCCTGGGGCCTCAGCTTGACCTCTGTCCCCTTGTGGGTATGAAAACCCCAATCCTAGGGATCTCGGTGTCCCTGTGGAGTGCTAGACTTCAGCCACCTCTCAGCATTGTGGCTTTGATTTCCTTCTTTATTTCTAGCACCTGGAAGATTGTGTTGCTGTTGAGCTCAGATATCTATTTTAAAAAGAAGAAGAAGGCGTGCCTTGGTGGTTCAGTCACTTGAGCATCTGACTTTGGCTCAGGTCATGATCTCATGGTTCATTAGTTCGAGCCCCAAGTCAGGCTCTGTGCTGACAGCTCAGAGCCTGGAGCCTCCTTCAGATTCCGTGTCTCACCCTCTCTCTCTCTCTGACCCACCCAGCTCACACTCTGTCTTTCTCAAAAATAAACATCTAAAACAATTTTTTTAGGGGCGCCTGGGTGGTTCAGTTGGTTAAGTGGCCAACTTCAGCTCAGGTCATGATTTCGCAGTTCATGAGTTTGAGCCCCACGTTAGGCTCTGTGCTGATAGCTCAGAACGTGGAGCCAGCTTCAGATTCTGTGTCTCCCTCTCTCTGCCCCTCCCCTGCTTGTGCTTTGTCTCTCTCTGTCTCTTAAAAAAATGAATAAACATTAATTTTTTTAATAAATAATTTTTTTTTAATTAAAAGAAAAAGAAGAGGGGTGCCTGGCTGGCTTAGTCAGTAGAGGACGCAGCTCTTGATTATGGAGCCCCATGTCGGATGTAGAGATTACTTAAAAATAAAACATTTAGGGGTGCCTGCGTGGCTCAGTCGGGTGAGTGTCCGACATCAGCTCAGGTCATGATCTCATGGTTTGTGAGTTCGAGCCCCACACTGGGCTTTGCGCTGATAGGGCAGAGCCTGCTTTGGATTCTCTGTCTCCGTCTCTCTCTGCCCCTTCCCTGCTCATGCTTTCTCAAAAATAAACATTAAAAAAATTAAAAACAAAATCTTCAAAATAAAAACAAACTTCCTATGTCTTGCATAGTATATGTTTGGAGTGTGGGAGGTGGGATATGTACCTCCAGCATTACCTGGGGTTTCCATTTTGGAATGGAGTTTCTGTGGAAAAGAAAAAAAAAGGCAAGAATAAGAAATCCAGATCTAGCTCAGCATTCAAACACCCACCTTACCCTTCAGTCAAAAGAAGCTCTCCAAATCGCCATAATCCCCACCCTTCCCTATTACCTTTCATCCACCTGCTTCAGTCCATTGAACTTTCCTGCCTGTGCCTGAAGCATTCGAGCACGTGACTCTGGGTAAAAACATCCTGCCTTCTTGAGGGCAAATCCATGCCGGGGTCTTCTCTGTGCCCCTGGTACCTAGCCGGGAGATGGCAAAGATCAGGAGCTCCAGAAATAAGTGGGGAAGGAGGAGTGAAGGGACAACGCAGGAAGCCCTGGGATTCAGAGCGCACAGGCTGGAGCCGCTCCTGGGAAGTGTGGACAGAAGTTGGGAAACAGAGGAGTGCCACTTCCAGCCCAGTGCTCCAGAATTAGACCATCTGCTCTTTTTCCTTTTTTTTTTTTTTTTAACTTTTTAAATGTTTATTTTATTTATTTTGAGAGAGAGAGAGAGAGAGAGAGAGAGAGAGCACGCAAACAAGGGAGGGCCAGAGAGAGAGGGAGAGAGAGTGAATCCCAAGCAGTCTCCATGCTCAGTGCAGAGCCTGAGGCGGGGCTTGAACTCATGAACCTTGAGATCGTGACCTAAGCTGAAATCAATTTCAGATGCTTAACTGGCTTAGCCACCCAGGCACCCCCGGACTATCTGTTTTTGTTTTAAGTTTATTCATTTATTTAGAGAGAGAGAAATAGAGCAGGGGAGGGGCAGAGAGGGAGCGAGACAGAGAATCCCAAGCAGGCTCTAAGCTGTCAGCACAGAGCCTGACGGGAGGCTGGAACTCAGGAACTGTGAGATCATGACCTGAGCCCAAACCAAGAATGGGACGCCCAACAGACTGAGCCACCCAGGCGTCCCCCCTCCTCTTTTTTTAAAGTGTCAGACAATCTGGGTTTGCACCCTAGCTCACCCCTCTCTAGCTGTGTGACTCAAGCTCTGTGCTGTGGTTCGGAGGTCTGTAAAATAGGGGTGATTTTACCTACCTTAATGTGTCTTAGATGTAAAGCTCATGACAGTGAGATAGCAAGCACGCTGAATATTAGTTTATTATGATTCGGCATTTATTAGGGGCCTACCGTGTGCCCGGAACCAGAGGGCACCAAGATCATTTGCACGGGGGCTTCCTCCGGTGTAGGGCCTTGCCCAGGAGGAAGTCACACTCCAAAGCTTCTCCACATCCACAGGACCCAATTTTTTGGCAGGGGCTGGACCACTTATAGCTCTTGAACAAGGTTTGAGAACAAGGAGGCTTGAGGGAAGTTCCAGGTCCTCAGGGCTACCCTCTGCCTCCCTAGTTTGCAGTGGCCTCGAGGTGGGGCTCGAGGCTGGCCGAAGGGTTTCTGGTGCAATCTCTGTTCCCTCAGCCTGGCTACCAAGAGTGGCTGAAGATCTCCTGGGACTGCGAGGTCCTTGGAGTCCCGTCTACTGGGGCCGAGGTGCCTTTGTCCCCTGGTAGACAGCACCACCTGCTGGGTGTGTGTTTGTGTCTGTACTGTGTGTGAGGTGTGGCGCGGGTGAGGTGTCAGGGGCCATACGGTTGGAGGTGAGGTGGGGGGTGTGAAGTGTCACATGATGTCCAGGAGTTGCCAGTAAGGTAGATGTGTGGAGGATATGTAGCTCCCGAGGCGCACGATGCTGTCGGTGGGTGTGTTGGTGTGAAAAAACAAAAATCTTCTTCCAATGCAGAAACCCCCCACCCAGGTGATAGAGACAGAAAACAGACTTTATTACTGGAAGCATTAAACCAGAATGGTATGTACATTACAGGTGTTAACCTTAAGAATAAAACCGTTGGGGCGTCCGGGGGGCTCCGTCGGGTGAGCGCCCGACTTCGGCTCAGGTCATGATCTCACAGCTCGTGAGTTCGAGCCCCGCGTCAGGCTCTGTGCCGACAGCGCGGAGCCTGGAGCCTGCTTTGGATTCTGTGCCTCCGTCTCTCTCTGCCCCAACCCACTCACATCCTGTCTCTGTCTCTCTCAAAAATAAATAAACATTAAAAAAAAAATTTTTTTTTTTTTTTAAAGAATAAAACTGTTAAGGGCTCTCATCCGACTCTTGATTTTGGCGATGGTCATGATCTCAGGGTCATGGGAGCAAGCCCTGTGTTGGGCTACACACTGAATGTGGAACCTGCTTGTGATTTTCTCTCCCCCACTTTCTCTGTCTCTCACCCCTCCCTCGTGCTCATTCTCTCTCTCGGTCTGAAAAAATAAATTAAAAATGAGAGTAACAGTGTCAGTTATTTTTTCCCAGCAGAAATAGGTTTATTCAGGAATAGCAGAGAAATACTACTTAAGACTCGTAAGCTCTGACAAAATTATATGTAAGGCTGGAGAGGAACCGCTGTTCTATAGAGGAAAAGAGGGGGCCTTGGGAGAATGGCTGTTACAAACAGAGTTCATTGGACTGAACTGGCGGTTCCAAGCATAGGGGCTTCTCATTGGCTGAGTTGTGCCAGTCTCACATTGACCCGGGCTCCTGCTGGGTGAGGAGAAAATCTCCTGCTGGGTAGGCTCTTGCCTCTTGCAAATACAACTTAAGTCTCTTGCTGGTTCTGGAAAAGGCTGTAAGGAGTGGTAGGATATGACAGCTCCCCCCCTCTGGCTTCCCAACTTCATTTTTTTTTTTTTTTTTTTGTAAGCTCTGATGAGGGATAAAACAGAAAATGTTCAACTTTAGCCCGGAAGGCTGCTCCAAAGCCTACATAATTCTGATGAGGCTAAAATACGTGCTGGCTGCTATATTCTTTTTTTTTTAGTTTATTTATTTTGAGAGAGAGCATGAGTGAGCACACACGTGACCTGGGAAGGGGCAGAGAGAGAGAGAGAGAGAGAGAGGGAGAGAGAGAATCCTAAGCAGGCTCCACACTGTCAGCGAGTAGCCCCATGCTAGGCTCGAACTCATGAACCGTTAGATTATGACCTGAGCCGAAATCAAGACTTAGAAGCTTAACTGACTGAGCCACCCAGGTGTCCCATGGCTGCTACATTCTTAAAGGGTCTCATGACTGCCTGTACAACCTACCCATAGTTAATATCGAACTGAATGATAAGAGAAATCTTGAGAGGTTTATGAGTAGAAATTCAAAGAAAACATTTGAGGGGACTTGCATGTCCCCTCCCTCTTGAGCATTAAGCATATAACCGCCAGCTTCATACAGCAAAAGTGCTGCTCACGGGTCTTGTCCCCTGCTATAATAAAGCACCTCTTTGCACCCAGAATATCTCAAGAATTCTTTTCTTGACCTGTAGGCTCGTGGCCCCACATCAAGTTCTACGACCAACCGTGGGGCTTGAACTCAGGACATGGAGATGGAGAGTCACGTGCTCTACCCACTAAGCTGGCCAGATGTCCCCCAACTTCATTTTGAATAAGGTGTTTTTGTTGTTGTTGTTGTTGTTGTGTTCCTTCAGTTTCACACAAGCAATTCTACAGGTAGCCAAGCAGGTACAACCCCTTGTCCTGTTTTCAAGATAAAAATTTCAAAATCCACCGTCTTTAGTCCTGTCTAGTTCATCCTAACTTTATTATGGTTTATTGGCTTATATCCAGGGGAGAAACAAGCTTCTCACCTATTACTGACCTGAGGTAGTTTAGTATATCATAGCAAGGCCCCCACCAAAGTGAGGCTGTTAATCCCTCTCCCAGGAACTGGGAGATCTGGATCTATCATCTATCGCTAGGAGGTTTGCATTTCAAAAAGATGGCTTTCAGCCCCCGGGAGTCCTGAGTTTTGAGACTTGCAAGAGGCTTATTTAACCACAACAGAGACTTACAATCATTTTAAAAGGACGAAGAAAGAAATTCTGAAACAAACGTGGGAGAGAGGGAAGTCACACCCCTTCTTTTCAACGGGGAGAATCAAGCCTGTCATTTTTCACTTGGATTTGTCCCACCAGGTGTTGTTTTCGAGGCGTGTTGTGCTTAGGTATGCGCTGTGGGCGGGTGTTGCGCGAGGGCGTGTGTTGTGTTAACACTGCGCGTGAAGCCCGTCTGTGGGGGCAGTCGGGTGTGAGGGAGGGTATGTGTGATATGTGTGATGTCGGAGGTGGTTCAGAGTTGAGTGGCGTTGAAGTGCTGGGCCGGGGTGTGTACCGGGTGGGTTCTGCACGGAGCAGGGGCGCGTGTGTCGGGGTGGCGATGAGTGGAACTAGCCCACAACGTAGTTGCGGGAAACGGTAACGGCGATAATGGAGAGGACTAAAGCTTGGTTCCGCGGTTTCTAAAAATTCGGAGGCCGTCTTCCTTCACTTTGTAGTCGGAGGGCTTGAGGACTACAATTCCCAGGATGCCCCGCTCGCTCGCCAACCAGGAACACGCGTCGATTTAATGGGCGGGCCTGGAGTGGGCTGGTCAGGAAGAGAGGCAGACGACCAATGGGCGAGCCGGAACGAATCGAAAGCCACGCTGATTGCGCCGAGGCTGATTGGAATCTTTGGCGCCTTGGTTTCAGTGGTGGATGCATGGTGGGCGGATGTAGCGACCAATGAGAAGGCGGGGAGGAGGAGCCAGGGGGTGTGGGCAGGGAGAGGTGTTGACTAGCAGGCGGTTTACCCAATGAGGAGCGCAGGTCGCTGAAGGGGGCCGGGCGAGGCGTCTAGAGGCGGTGGACTGTGGTCGGCTGGTGTGTGCCATGGCGGAGCCGGTGAGGAAACGGGGCCGCCGATCCCGGGGCGGCGGAGTCGGCCGAGGGGCTCGCGGGTCTCGGGGCGGCCGGGGCCGGCGTCCTCGCGTCCCTCGGTCTCCAGGCCGGCCCACCCTGGACTCGGTGTTTGTGGACTTGGTCAGCGACAGCGACGAAGATATCCTGGAGGTCGCAACAACGCGCAGCGCTGCGGACTCGGTCGAAGTCCCTCACCTGGAGCCCCCAGTGCCGGCTGCCCCCCGGGACGACAGCGACAGTGACAGCGAAGGGGCGGACGCACCGCCCGCCGGAGCCCCGCGGGCCCCGGTCAGGCGGCGGCGGCGGCTGCTGCTGGATCCGGGGGAGGCACCGGTTGTTCCGGTGTACTCCGGGAAGGTGCAGCGCGGTCCCCGGGAGGGCTAACGCAGAAGGGCTGGGTCTAGGGACTGCTCAGATTAGGCTTCTGGGATTGGTCTTGGGGGACTAAACGGACGCGGGAGTTGGGGCCTTGGAAGCAGAGAGATGCAGGGTTCCTGAGGTTTCTGCAGTTTGGAGAGGTGAAGAGGTTTGGAGTGTGTTAGGAGTTTGGGGTTCCTGGGAGCTGGAGTGTCAGAAGCAGAGAGAGGCTAAGGGGCCGGGATCCCTTATGCTTCTGAGAGGGGCTGGCAGGACCTGGGGCTGGGATTTGGAGCATGTTGGGTTTTGAGGTTGGGGCCCATTGCTAAGGATCCAGGAAGCTGGGGTCATGGAAGTTCAGAGAAGATTGGGGACTCCAGGAAGCTGGGTCCCCTGGTGGGAGGGTGAGCTAGGAAGCTGGGATTCCCCAGGATTCCAAGGTAGCAGGATGGCTAGCAACCTAGTAAGAGCGTAAAAGAAAAACTAATGCCTTAGGGAAAGGGCTTGTAGCAGTAAGGGTACTCTAATTTGGATCTTGTGGAAGCTGGGCTCCTAACTCGCCCAGAGAGGACTTGGACTTGAGAGCTGGAGGAGGGGATGAGTCATCCTGTTTCCCTTTCAGTAGAGGGAGGACTTGGGACTGATTCACTTTTGTCTTTACAGGTGAAAAGCAGCCTTCATCTCATCCCAGATCACCTGTCCCTCCTGAAACTCTGTCCTCCAGAAGCTGAGGAAGGTAGGGGCAGACTTCAGAGAGGAGCCCAGTGCTGGCCTCTCTGAGGAAGCTTCCTGGAGTTTACATCTCTGCGGTTGATTATTATTCTTTTTAATGTTTATTTATTTTTAAGAGGGAGAGAGAGCGTGAGCAGGGGAGGGGCAGAGACAGAGGGAGACACAGACTCCGAAGCAGGCTCCAGGCTCCGAGCTGTCAGCACAGAGCCCGATGCGGGGCTCGAACTCACAGAACGTGAGATCATGACCTGAGCCGAAGTCGGACGCTTAACCGACTGAGCCACCCACGGACGCCAGAAATTCCCAGGCGCTCCTGCGGTTCATATTTTTCCTGAGGCTCAAGGGAAAGGCATGACTCCTTCAACCTAGCCAGACAAAAGCTTCTGTCCTGAAATGAGATGAGTGTTAACCAGGAGGCACAGAAAGGGCTGTCAAACTGCCCTTCCCCCAACCTGATAGGCACAAGAGTGTGCTAATCTCCAGATTTCTAGGCCATCTCCAGAGATTCTGATTCTGTATTCCTGGGGGCAGGGGAGGAGGAGGGGTTGAGAATCTGTAACATCGTGGTACATCTGCAACAAGTTCCTTGGGAACACTCTGGAGCCAGCATGGTATTCTTTGAATCTTATCAGAACTGGTCCTCCCTCAGTGATGTGATGTTTTGTGAACCACCCAAAGGCAGTGAATAGGAGTCAAGTTTAATGAGGAAGGGATCCAGTGGGCAAATGCAGACCTTGGGCCAGGCCTTCTGTACTGGGAGCAAGTATGGTAGGGTGATCAACAGCTGATTTAGGAACCAGCTGGCCTGGGTTTGAATCTCAGCTCTACCTTTTAGTAGCTGTGCGACCTTGTTTCGTCACCAGAAAACTAGGGGTAATAGTGGTCCTACGCCAGAGGATTTGGGTGAGAATTAATTAGAGAGTATACATAAGGAGCCCTCTCTTGGGCTACATGTATGGTTAGGACGGTACCTGGAACGTAGTCGTGCAAAGGTACCTCTGTCCTTGCTGCTTCAAATGTAGGCCCAGGTGCGCCAGGCATCTTCCGGGAGCTTGGCAGAAATGCAGAATCTCATGTGTCTACCAGCTGCCACATTTATCGAGGACAGAGTTGCTCAGCCTTGACCTTACTGACATTTGCACTGAGTAATTCTTTGTGGGGACCTGTCCTGTGCATTGTAGGATGTGTAGCAGCATTGTGACCTCTACCCACCAGGGGCCAGCGTCACACACTCCGACTCCCTCCGCCTCCTCATCATGACAACAAAAATTGTCTCGAGACATTGCCACATATCCCTTGGGAGGCAAAATTGCCTCTGGTCGAGAACCACCGATCTAGGATGTATTATCATTGCTTTGTTTTTGCAGTATTTATTTATATGGTTAATGATGATCTTTGGTTAATGGCAAACAAATGAAAAAAGAGCTTCTGTGTTCTAGAATAAACCTCTAGTTTCCTGTTATAAGGAGTTGTAGTTAAAATGAGTGATTAAAAACAGATACTAAGTATTACAGAGATATGACAAAATGTGGTAATCATGCTCACATGGAAGAAATTTGAGAAACGTGGGCTCAGAGGGCCTATACTGCTCTGTACCTCGTTCCCTCCCTGCGCCATGCCGCCTCCTGCCCCATACCTACGTGGGCTGTCTATGCCCATCCAATCCAGTACAGGAAGAAAATAAGAGGAACAATTAAAAAAAAAAAAATCATCCTTTGCCAACATCTGGTTTGAAGTTTGTTCTGTCACATACACGGTAGTATGTGCATGTGTCATAAGGAACACGTGTGTATTAAGTAAATAACATATTTCCTAGATCGTGTGTATTTTATACGTGGGCGGCATGTGATCAAAAAAGGAGATTAAGCTAATCATAACTTGGTTGGAGTGGCCCACCTTCCGATCGTCCCCACTTCCGTGCCGGCTCGTGCCTTAGCATGAGGTTCAGACACCTCCGCTCATCGTTTTCTCTGCACCAGGCATTTCCCTATGACTCCTGCCCCTTGAGCACTTCCCCAGCATTAGTGTGTGTGTGTGTGTGTGTGTGTGTGTGTGTGTGTGTGTGTGTGTGTTTCTTGGGACCCCTCAGTCTCCAGCTTTCTCAGGACCTTGTGAAGCCCTGACTTGCCTCTCCTTGGCCTCTCGCTGCCCTCTCGTAGCTAACCCCTTCCATTTGTCCTCCTTTGTTCCCAGAGGCCGATATGGCAGATTCTAGCAGTCCGCATGCTGAAGATGCCCCGTTTCCAGATTCGCCCTGGAAGAAGAAGCTGAGGAGTAGAGATGCAGAAGAGAAGACAAAGGAGGTGTTTCTGTGAGTGAGGCTGGGGCACTGGGACCCCAGGAGCAGAGGGGGAGCTGGAGGCGTGGGCTGAGGTGGGCAGGATCCTTGGGTGGCTCCTGAAAGGGTAAGGAGAAGGGATGGAGGGAGTCTTGAGGCTCAGGGAGGAATGAAGTTGTTTTTTTGTAAACATTTTTTTAAAGTTTATTTACTTATTTTAAGTAGGGGAGGGGCAGAGAGAGAGAGGGGAACAGAAGATCCGAAGTGGGCTCTGTGCCGACAGTGGACAGCCCTACGGGGGGCTCGAACTCACGAACTGGGAGATCATGACCTGAGTCGAAGTCACACGCTTAGCTGACTGAGCCACCCAGGCGCCCCAAGGGAAGCAATTTACCTTAAAAATTAGGCATTTTCCTTGCTAATATTTGGGTCCCGTGGGTATAAAAATGATGGCTCAGGTTTTCTCTGACTTTACCTCCCCGTGTCCACAGGATGGTGTCACTGGAAGGTGTTCCCTCTTGATAATCCACTTCCCCGTGTTGGTGCCCAGGACCAAGGAGCTACCTCCTTGGTAGCTCAGGAGGAGACACATGGGACTGGGGTCCCTTCCTCGTCCTCCGTCCCAGCCCTCAATTCTCTTTGTAGGTTTCAAGACACCTCTCCTTTGTCTCCGCCTCCTCCGAGAACCAAAAGCAGGAAGCATACTCGGGCACTCCAGAAGTTAAGGTACCAAGGGCAGGGGGCTCGCCGGGGTAGAGAGGGGCGGTTTGGTGGGTGGCCCACCCTGGCTGACCCGCCGTCCTTCCTGCACCCCAGGGAGGTGAACAAACGCCTGCAAGATCTCCGTTCCTGCCTGAGTCCCAAGCAGCGCCAGGGCCAAGATCACCAGAACCAAGAGGATGAGGTGGTCCTAGTGGAGGGTCCCACCCTTCCATCGAGCCCCCGGCTCTTCCCACTGAAAATCAGGTGCCGGGCTGATGTGATCAGGTTGCCCATGAGGATGGTAAGTGCCTGAAGGGCCGTGGGAGAGGGATCCCCGGAGCTGCCTGTGGGCGAGTGTGGTGTCAGGGCAGAAGGGACCGTGTCTTGCTTTCCCCATCCAGCCAGTGCCCTTCCAGGTTCCCCGCCCCATGTCTTGGGTTCGCTCTTCCCTTTGTCTCGATTGTCTTTCCCTCACTCTCTCTTCTCTAGCAAACTTCCCACCCACCCTTCAAGGCTCCACTTAAGCCTCCTGAGAAGCTTTGCTTGGTAGCCCCCTCCTCCGTTCCTTCCCTCGGACCCCGTGCTGCCCCTTGGTGCCTGCTTTTTTTTTTTTTAATTTTTTTTAACGTTTATTTATTTTTGAGACAGAGAAAGACAGAGCATGAACAGGGGAGGGTCAGAGAGAGGGAGACACAGAATCTGAAACAGGCTCCAGGCTCTGAGCTGTCAGCACAGAGCCCGACGTGGGGCTTGAACTCACGGACCGCGAGATCATGACCTGAGCCAAAGTCGGCCGCCCAACCGACTGGGCCACCCAGGCGCCCCTGGTGCCTGCTTTTAAACTGTGTTAGTCACAGATGTCACCCGTTCACTCTGAGCTCCCCCAGCTTCCTGGTGGAAACGACTATTTTTGTAGGGATGAGCCCAATTCCAAAACAAGAGTGACAACAGAAATAACCATTTATTGAGCAGCAGCGACGTGTCAGGCAAGCAGCGAAGCCAGGCCTTGCGAACACGCAGCCCATGGCTTTTATCGACAGCGCGTCTTACTTTTTTTGTCTCGTGGACGCAGAATGCTTTTCAGACGTGTGTTCGTTGCCACCCACCTCAATGAGTGATTTCATCCAAAGGACCGGTTGCCTGGCTTCTCTTAAATAGGAAGGAGTAGTTGCACTGGCCTGTGCTCCCACACGGCACCCATCAGCCAGAGCTGGGGACGGCTGGCCTGTTAGAGGGGGCGTATGAGATCCAGTTTGCCGCATTCCCCACCCCTGCCCTTTTCCCTCCTAATCCACGGCTGCTTCATTTCTTTGTGTTACCTCCCCGAACCCCATATGGACGTGACTTTATTCTGTACTTTGCCAGGTAAATCTATGGGACTCCCAGCTGAGGAGCTCAGCGGGTAGCAAAGGCCAGAAACGTGGTGGGGAAGGGGGGGACGGGGCACGTCAGGAGGTGGCCTCCTTTGCTTCTTGTCCCCTCACCAGTCGGAGCCCCTACAGAGTGTGGTGGACCACATGGCCACCCATCTCGGGGTGTCCCCAAGCAGGATCCTTTTGCTCTTCGGAGAGACAGAGCTGTCCCCTACTGCCACTCCCAGGACCCTAAAGCTTGGAGTGGCTGACATCATTGGTGAGAGGAAGGCAGGGAGGTGGAGCCTTGAGGAGGCTTTGGCCACAGGGAGGGGATAGAGGAAAAGGCCCGGAGGGGGCCCTGCTTCCAGTCCCCCCCCCTTAAGCCTGGCTTCCCGATCCTGCCTCCCACAGACTGCGTGGTGCTAGCAAGTTCTCCGGAGACCTCAGAGATGTCCCGCCTGCTCCAGCTGCGGGTGCAGGGCAAGGAGAAACACCAGATGCTGGAAGTCTCGCTGTCTCCGGTGAGTGGGAGAGATGGCTGTCCGGGCCCCTCACCCTTTCCTCTGCCGACCGTGTCTCTCTGGTCAGTTACCAGCGGGTGGCTCCCCCCGAGTCCCGAGCAGTTTGGGTTCCTGCCCGTCCTAGAGACTAGGGAGAGCCCACTGTTCAGCTTTGCTCCCCCTCGTGCTGGGAACCTCTGCTCTAGTCTCCCGACTCCTGCTTAAAATGGAAAGGACCCTTGGACGGTAACCAATGAAACAGAACAACAGCGCCAGGCTTCTGAGTGACAGTCCCCATGCTAGAGATAATTAACTTCCCAGTCAGGGTGTTGGTGAACTTCACGGTGACATTGCATGGAAACCACTGTCGTTGCCCTCATTTAACACATAGGGACACGGGTCTAGAGAGGCGGGATAATTTGCAGTGTCTGTTCCTGGGGCTGCTGTAGCAAAACACCACAAACCGGGTGGCTTAAAACAACCGTATTCTCACACGGTCCTAGAGGCCAGGAGTCGAAGCTGAGTGCTCAGCAGGGGCCGTGCTCTGTCTGAGGCTCCGGGCAGAAATGCTCCTTGCTTCTTCCTGACTCCTGGAGGCGGCCGCTGGTCCTGGGCACTCCTTGGCCTGCAGCTGCGCCCGCCCCCTCCCTCAGTGTCTGCCTCTGTCGTCACGGGGTATCCTCCCTGTGTGTCTCTGCCTGTGTGTTTTCTTGCAAGAATGCCAGACGCTGGTGCCCACCCTCAGCGAGTGTGCCCTTGACTTCACCTGATTACATCTGCAAAGGCCCTGTTTCCCATCTGGAAATGGGAAATGGTCACATTCACACTTACCAGGGCCCTTGCCCAAGGTCACACATGAGCCAAGTGGGAGAGCCTGGCCTGCAGCTCGGGCCATCCTCACTCTAGGATCTGGGCTGTCTTCTTCACTGCAACAGACGCCTCCATTGGTAGGTGAGGAGCTTGGGGCTTGCAGAACCCACCTGACCCGGAGCCTGCAGCCTAAGCCTTAGCCTCTGTGGCCCGGTCCCCTAGAGAGGGACCCGGCTGTGCTAGCTTTTCTGTCCACTCGCCTTCCCCTTCGTCCCCTTGTCCTCTCTGTCCTGAGTCCTCTGTACATCTCTATAAGTTCTCAGCCCCTCTTTTCAAATTCTTTTTTTTCTTAAGATTTTTTTAATTGAAAATTTTTAATGTTTATTAATTTTTTATTAATTTTGAGGTTTTTTTGTTTTTTTAATTTTTTTAATGCTTCTTTATTTTTGAGAGAGAGAGAGCGAGAGACAGAGCATGAGCAGGAGAGGCAGAGAGAGCGGGAGACACAGAATCCAAAGCAGGCTCCAGGCTTCAAGCTGTCAGCACAGAGCCTAATGCGGGGCTCGAACTCACAAACCGTGAGACTGTGACCCGAGCCGAAGTCAGACGCTCATCCGACTGAGCCACCCAGGCAACCCGTTAAAGATTTTATTTTTAAAAATTTTTTTTCAACGTTTATTTATTTTTTGGGGGACAGAGAGAGACAGAGCATGAACGGGGGAGGGGCAGAGAGAGAGGGAGACACAGAATCGGAAACAGGCTCCAGGCTCCGAGCCATCAGCCCAGAGCCCGACGCGGGGCTCGAACTCACGGACCGCGAGATCGTGACCTGGCTGAAGTCGGATGCTTAACCGACTGCGCCACCCAGGCGCCCCAAAGATTTTATTTTTAAGTCACCTCTGCACCCAACATGAGGCTCAACCCCTTGAGCAAGCGTCACATGTTCTATTGACTGAGCCATCCAGGCACCCCCTCCCCTCCCCTCCACCCCATCTTTTCGAATTCTTACATCCATTTTTTTCTCCTCTGTCCAGGATTCTCCTCTCAAGACCCTCATGTCCCGCTACGAGGAGGCCATGGGACTCTCAGGCCACAAGCTCTCCTTCTTCTTTGATGGGACAAAGCTTTCAGGCAAGGAGCTGCCCGCTGATCTGGGCATGGAATCTGGGGACCTCATCGAGGTCTGGGGCTGAAACCCCACGCCCTGTTTTGACGTGCCGCCTGGACTTGGGGGAGGACAGCTGCCCCTTTTGGCCCTGTATGGGCTTATCTTTAAGCTGAAGCAAAATCTAGCAGCGAACTTTGACCCCCTCTCCCGTTGACCCTGGTTTCAAGCCGTTAGTTACTTGGTTAGTTGTGTGGTTGTTCTTGCCGTCCTGGGTGGACTGTGGCTCCGCCCACTGGGTATGCTGCGTTCGCAGCCCCCCAGGACACAGGGAAGGTATCCCTCACTCCCACCGAGCCCCTTTCCTTCCTGGAAATGTTTTTATGCAAGTGCTCCTATTTAGAGCGACTGGGAATAAACGAGGGGTGGGTGTGGATTCCAGGCCTGGGATGTCTGGGAGTTGGGACCAGCAGTGGCCCCAGGAGGCTAGCAGGTAAAGTTTGAGGCACCTACACGAGTGTGGTTCCCCGGCCTGCAGGAAGATAAATGGTCCAGGCCCCACACGCGCTCACTTAAGCCCAGGCAGACAAGGTCTAGTGGATCCTCAGCTTTGGATGTCTTCCTCACCCCAGGACCCTTTATAGGCACCTTCCTGAGGCACACACGTTGTTTAAGACATAATTGAACACCTCGAGCTCTTTTTGTTTGGATCTCCCGATGCTAGTCCACGAGAGGCTTCTCTGGTTTTACGGCTGTCTCTTCCCTGCTCATGCCAGCCTAAGCACCCATTCGAGTGTGCGGATCGCGCGTCTTTGAATACAAACGCATCTTCGTAAGACGCACTGATGTGTGTGTTGAATACACTTTTGCCACGTGCGGTAGCGCCGTGCTGTAGATCTCGTGCTGTTTCTTTCCTCACTCAATACGTGGTGCTTATTCTACGTGGGATTCATCGCTCGAAGGGCCCGTTGGTGTTCCTCAGGGGGCCTTGGCTGCATCTTACACGTTCATGGGTCTCCTTCCGCGCTTGCGTGGCAGGTTCTCCAACATGAGCCCCCAGGATGGGATTACGGGGCGGACGGGTTCATTTCCCTGTGGTTCTACCAAATTTTTCTCACGAATGGCCACGGAGCCTCCCCCTGGAGGGTCCCCGTTTCTCCTCATCCTCACCAGCTCTTGTTACTGCCCTGCTTTCCAACTTTTGCCAGCCTGTGGGGAGGAAAGTGGTGCCGTGTTTCGACGCACATCCATCCGCTCACCGGCACTTCCGGGAATTTCTTCGCACGTGCCCCGCAGCCTTTCGGGCTCCCTTTCTGTGCGCTGCCGTGACCGCTGCCGATGCTCGAGGACCGGCGCTCGCGCTTGATTCTTGAGGGGTGTCCTTCACCGAACAGAAATTCTCAGTTTGGATGTTACGTGCGTGAACTGTTTTGTCGTATCATTTGTCGCTTTTTGATTTCTTATTTAAAAGTCGTTAAGATATTTTACATTTTCAGCTCTTGGCCCCTTAGTTTGCCTTTGCACGTTTCGGCCACTAAGTAGGGCCGAGGTCCAGCCATCACACCCCGCGATGCGCGTCGGCTGGCCTCTGTTCTGTGTGGGTGAACATTTGTTCGCATCGGCTGATTCCGGGCTGTACCGGCTGCTGAATATTGAACATTACTTTTAAACGATTTGCATTCAACTTCGCCTATGAGATCCAGGTTTTATTTTCACCACAGAATGAGCCAGACTTCTCAGCGCTGTCTACTAATAAAGCCATTAATTTGCCACTGATACGTGGTATCATTCTGACAAAAGTATGTCACCTTCTAAAAACTTTTGTTGGAATGTGGCATTCCTTTGACCTTCTAATGTGAGAAAAATAGAAGCCTCTATAACATTGAAATAATCCACGATATGGCATAACTCATTTTTTTCAGATCTTATTTTGTCCATTAATACGTTTGGACACGTTAAAATTGTGTATTCGGCCTTAACAAAATAAACGGGAGTACATTCACCTTGCGTCTTCTTGAGGGTTTCTGTCTTTGTAAACCCCCCGCCCCCCCCAAAGGACCTCCCACTACAGCCCCTGTGACAGTCCAGTAGTTGTCACCTTGCATCCATTGTTACTCCTTCCAGGGTAGCAGAGACCCCGGTTTTTAGCAAAGCACGGAGACTTCAGAGGGAGGACAGCCAGCCTCCGTTGTAGCCAGCTGCCACTTCAGGCTGGTGGGTGTAAGGGGGAGAGGGGCGCACCTCGCAGAGCATTTCCCAAAGAGGGTGGCAGGAGCCCCTCTCCTTCGCTGTCTTCCTGCTGCTGGACGTAGAACGGCCCTGCGGACACGCGGCGACCTTGGGGAAGGAAGCCGTGCAGGTGGCACAGGACACAGAGAGACGGAGCCCGGGCCCCAGCCTCTCTGCAGCGTCCTACCAGTCCTCCACTGCTGACCTCGGGGCTTTCCTGGGAGGGGGAGCTACTTCCGTCCTGCCTAATTCACTGCTATTTGAGGACTTCTGTCTCTGGTAACCCAGCCCAGTTCCAACCCCAGGATGTTGCCATTGCAACATTGTAGTGAGCCTGTTGGGGTCCCTGGCTGAGATTTTTCTCAGGTTTCTCTCCAGGAGTAGAATCACCGGTCACTGAACGTGTATCCTCCCGCCTGGTCTCTCTCTTCAGCAGTGCCAGGTTGCTGACCACAGTGACTGGACCTCTTTATAGATCCATTAGCAAGTGCTAGAAGATTCCGGTTTCTTCTTCCCCAGCCCTGAATCTGGGGAGGAGATGGGAAAGACTACTTATTTTAAATTTTTTTTTTCAACGTTTATTTATTTTTGGGACAGAGAGAGACAGAGCATGAACGGGGAAGGGGCAGAGAGAGAGGGAGACACAGAATCGGAAACAGGCTCCAGGCTCTGAGCCATCAGCCCAGAGCCCGACGCGGGGCTCGAACTCACGGACCGCGAGATCGTGACCTGGCTGAAGTCGGACGCTTAACCGACTGCGCCACCCAGGCGCCCCAAGACTACTTATTTTAAAAGAATTTGCATTTCTTCTATGTTGAGAGGTTATTCATCCTTTTGCTCAAAGGGATTGATCACTTCTCAGGTGGTCATTTTATTTTATTTTAAAATGTTACTTACTTTTATGGATTTTATTTCTTATTTTTTAAAATAATTTTTAAAAGTTTATTTATTATTGAGAGAGAGCGAGAGAGAGTGAGCGTATAAGCTGGGGAGAAGCAGAGAGACGGAGACACAGAATCTAAAGCAGGCTCCAGATTCTGAGCTTTCAGCACAGAGCCCCATATGGGGCTCGAACCCACAGACCCACAGACCTTAAGATCATGACCTGAGCCGAAGTCAGACACCTAAGCAATCAGCCACCTAGGTGTCCCTTAGGATTTTATTTTTAAGTAATCTCTTACACCCAACATGGGTCTCTAACTCACAATCCGGAGATCAAGAGTCGCACCCTCCACCAACTGAGCCAAACTGGCACCCCTATTTTCTTCTTTTTTTTTTTTTTTAAAGATTTTTTAAAGACTGGTCTCTGCACCCAGTGTGAGGCTTGAACTTACAACCCCAATATCAAGAGTCCCATGCTCTTCCCACTGAGCCAGCCAGGTGGCCTGTCAGGTGGTCTTTCTGAACTCTCCCAAAAAAAACCAAAAACAAAGCCAACAAACAGGGGTGCCTGGGTGGCTCAGTAGGTTAAGCTTCTGACTTCGGCTCAGGGCACGACCTTGCAGTTCATGAGTTCGGGCTCCGCATTGGGCTCTGTGCCGACAGCTCCGAGCCTGGAGCCTACTTCGGATTCTGTGTCTCCCTCTCTCTCTGTCCCTCCCCAGTTCATGCTCTGTCTCTCTCTCAAAAATAAACATTAAAAAAAAAAAAAAAAAAACAAACAAAAAAAAAAACCACAACACTCTCCTGATGAAAAACCTTCAAAACTGGGGTGCCTGGGTGGCTTAGTCAGTTAGGCACCCGACTTCGGCTCATGAGTTCGAGCCCTGACAGCTCAGAGCCTGCAGCCTGCTTCGGATTTCTGTCTCTCTGTCTCTCTGCCCCTCCCCTGCTCACGCTCTGTCTCTCTCAAAAATAAATAAACGTTAGCAAATTTTTTTAAAAGAACACCTTCAAAATTGTAGTAGGCCCTTACTCGGTGTCACATGCGAAGCTTGGTACTTTTCGTGACCTCATTCAGCCAAAGAGCACCTAGGGGGTAGAGAAACAGAAGCCCAGATTAGTGAACCCGCCCCAAACCTCACAGCCACCGGGCGCAGAGCCAGATGGAAGGCCAGGCGGGCCTGATCTACGACAAGACCCGTGCTGCTCACGCTGGAACCTGCACACAAGTGAGCTGGGAAGCTTGTGGAAACTGACGTGGCGTCAGCAGTTCTGGGGTGCGGCCCGAGATGTTGCCGTTCTAACGAGCTCCTAGGTGTTGTGGCCGTGCTGGCCACACTTGGGGTAGCAGGATGCTGTTTTGCTTTTTTTTTTTCTATAGCTTCACAGCCTCCCATCTCCCCACCCCTGCCATTCCTTCCAGAAGCCCCCCCACCCCCACCCCCACCGCCATGGGACTGGCCATGTCCTCTGTGTGTCCCCACCTCAGTCCGGAACAGGGGTCTGGCTCAGCGGACTCTTCCTGCCCATCGATCTCTTTCTCTGGTGCTAGACTGTAAGCTCCTTGAAAATAAATACCCTATCTTGTTCTTCTCAAACATCCCTAGCTTGGTGTCTGATGCCTAGTAGTTACCTGACAAATGTTTGTTGAACGAACAACTTCCTCGTCGCATGAGCCAGAAACCCGTGTCACTCTGGACACCTCTTAACCCCCGTATCCTCTCCGTCACCCACAGCTGCCCTAGGTGGCTAAGAGCGACTCACTTCCCTCCATCCCACCGAGGCCTACAGCCCGGTCTCCTGCTGCAGCCGCCTGACAAGTTCTGCCACCCCTTTGGCCCCCTCCAACCCAAAGACAGTGTAGCCAGTGTAGCCAGAAGGATCTTAAATGCAAATCCAATTTTAAAATGAAGGAAATGCTTAACGTGTCCTAGGCCCCAGGCCCAGCCTGGCCCCTGCCTGCTCCGGGGCCGGCCTCCCTCCCCTCACTGTCCTCCACACTGCCCTCCTTTCAGATTCTGGTGTCCCTTATGCTTCCTTCTGTGGCCTTTGCACAAGCTTTCCACTGCCTGGAACTGTTTTTTCTCCCCTCTTAGGAAGTCAGTGTTTGCCGCCCCCCCGTATCTGAGCTCAAGGATCACTTCCTCAGCAAGACTCTCAACCTCCCTGACCAGGTCAAATGCCCGTTATCAAGTCCTTGTCATACCCATACACCTGTCTTTGTTACTTTATTTTATTTTATTTTATTTTATTTCATTTCATTTCATTTATTGTTTATTTATTTATTATTTAGTTTACTTATTTATTTATTTGAGGAGAGGGGAAGAGAGAGAGAATCCCAAGCAGGCTCCGTGCTGTCAGCTTGGAGCCCAATGCAGGGCTTGAACCCACAAACTGTGAGATCATGACCTGAGCCGAAACCAAGAGTCAGACGCTTAACTGACTGAGCCACCCAGGTGCCCCCAGATGTCATTTTTTTGTGGCACTTGTCATAGGTGAACTTTTTTTTCCCCAAGAAATTCCACATATATTTTCCAGACCGGTTCCCAAATCAGGTAGAGCAAAATGTTGGGCTCCAGTTTAAACCAATAGACCTGTACAGACAGATTTATTTATCTGACCTAAAAGTAATTTTATTCCAGAAATCCATCAGATTGAAAAAGCCTGAGCCCAGGGATTAGCACAATGTTTTTTTTCCATTTGGCAAAAACAATTAGCATAAAGATA